AACATTGTGTACCCCCGACCAAACCTGCATACTGGGGTAATATTTATGTATTGCATAACAGTATATAACGCTCATATGTTTCTGTTTAAAAAGCTGTTTGACTGGTGGAATGTGCGGCTACGGTTTGCTAGGTAGGGATATGTGACTGTTAAAGGAACAAAAACACACAATGTGTTCTCCTGCTGAGTCTCTTAATTGATAATTATACAGTAATTCCACTCTAGAGCCTCTAAAGTCCAGACCAAAGGCGTTTGTCTTTTGTTTAGTCTTCCATGTGGATCCAACTAACTCAAGCACTTCCCTGTGCTGTCAGTCGTCAAGTCACACTGTAGTAATGCACCATAGTGACCAATGCCTCGTGTTACCATAAGCTAAGTTCATGTCCGTGTCTGTCTGCTTCCTACTGTCTGAGAGAGAGAGGAAAAAGAAAGAAAGACAAGTGTTAATTCCATCTATATCAATATTGTTAAATCATGTCTGGCTTCTGGACCAAGGCTCTGAAGGAACATTGTTGCAAATTAGCTACATTATAAACACTGTCATCAAACAAATCTTATAATTGCACATTGTATATATTTTGTGGTCGTCATAAGGGAATCATAAAGTCAACGCCAATAGTCTATAATTAACTGATTTCTCTTTAAAATGTATGACCGCGTTAGGGGGTATTTTTAGAAAAGCACCAATGCAGTCTGGGTATTTAGCGGATATTCCGCTGCTTTTGTCGCACGCGGGGTCACAGCTCATGGTCAAATAAATTCAAGCCGCAAGACAAACAAGCAGTGAACGTAAATCATACCAGGAACCATTTTGGTGAGCTGATGTTGGTTGCTCTAAATTAAAGACAAATGTATGCCATTACCCAACACCTTGGTCACAGTTTCCTTGGTACTTTCCAGCCAGGGCTTTTGCACATAATCCCTTCTCTTATTCACATTCTATTACCTGCTAAAATCAGTAAAGCTCAGGGACTTGTACTTTAAGTTCCATATGCATGTTAGGTTTCAATCACATATGGTTCACTTAGCTAGGTTTGCAGTATCTTTTCCTTTTCCTTATTTGTCTATATTCACAGTATCAAACTACTTTTAGACCTTTGTAAAGAATTGTAAATCTGGCATTTCATGGGCATTCCTCTCATTGTTGCTTGCAATAAAAGGTAGATGAATAGTCCTGGAAGGTATGATAAACGTAGGCCACATCAGACTAGTGGTCAAAACATGACAGATCATTCCCAATTATTTCTTCAGAAAGATTAATCGGTCTAAGATGGTTAATTCATTGTTTTACAAGCCGTCAATTCTAAATATACCGGTGGATGTGAAACAACTGAAACAGAGCTATGACAACAGAACAGCTCTGCACCATCTAGGGTTTGTAGACAAGGTAATAACTCAATTTATGACAAATTATACTATTACAGTCATATTTAAGGAGAGGTTTCAGTAAATGCAGCTATTCTGAGCACAGAGTGCCTCTTAAAATGTACACATCTGATTAGAAACACTTGATCTGTTGCCATGGTAAAAACTGACCTATCTCATTAAACATTTTTCTTTTTTTGTCATGTTTGATTTAAAAGGGTATTTGTGATGCAGTCTATTTATTCTGAACAAAATCCCTTCTATGAGGGGGATGTCATGCTGCTACGTGAAATAGCAGGTCATGTTTGCCATTTAAATCTAAACACTTCTGTGACCTGTGTTTTGGACTACTGTATACAAGGAAATGTTTTTCCATTTAATTAAAAATAAATCTATTTTATACATATGCTGAATTTAGGTCTGAACATTTTTTGGCCATCCATTTCCATCAGAGAATTCTGCGTTTGTAGAATTCTGAGGGTTGTTTCTCAGGCCAGGTCACAACCTGCTTCTCTGAGTCATTTGAGTACTGAAACCTGGTTTGATTTCATTGTTCTTTCAAGTGTGTGAAGATATAATAATGATGGAGCTCGACCCAAAGCTTCTGCAAAGCTACAATAATGTCAAGAGATTTGCTCTGATTTCAAATTTCAGTTCATTTTTGAGGGTAGAAAAACACCCTGCCCAACGTGCCTGAGTGTCTCAACACTTTTTTAGTCATTTGGATTAGACACCTATTAAAATGATAACATCTGTCACTGAACTTTTTGACTTACTCTAGTCTGTGATTCCTCCTTGCAGACATTTGTTTTCTCAGTGTTGGCTAAAGGGGCAGAAAAAGCATTAAATGCAAACTTTATCTCCATGGCATGTGTTATTTTGGTTTCAAAACGATCAAAACTATTACAAAGAAGCCTCTTGTGCAGAGAGGACAGAAGTTACTCATTAAGTAGTCAAACTTCAGCTTAATGATTTATTCTGATTATCAAAACATTGTGATTCTTTCTCCGTGACCACAATCCAAAATCATAAAACATCAGAGCAGTTGCCTTTTTGTTTTTCCTGTTCTCTATTTGTCTCTTTTGGGTTTGTTCCCCAAACCTCCCCTTTACTCCATGTATTTAGAACTGTCTTCTTCTACTTTTAGATCTTGTGAAGTAGCAGAAGTCTGGCGTTTAGTGGACATTCTTTGTAAGTGCTTCCAATAAAAGGTGGAGGGATAGCCTTGAAACGCACAGTAGATGCTGGCCTATTTGGGAAGATGTCAATCATGAATAGGCCCTTACTCCAAAAGATAATGTGCTCTGCTGTACTTTATTTATCTTCCCATCTCTTTTGCAGTGTTCCATGTGCTGCCTCCACTAAATATTCAAATTAAATGACAAATAAAATTGTTTTTTGTTTAATTTTTTTTCATGTTTTGTCATGAGGAAAAGGGGCACAAATAAAATTGTTTTTTGTTTAATTTGTCATGTTTTGTCATGAGGAAAAGGGGGTTCCTTAATATTCCTTCATAGTATGTACTAGCATTGGGGCAAAGGATGTCAAATTACCATGGAAATCTTTACTTTGCCCTTGAAATAATTCTGGTGGGGGATTAATTTACTAAGAAATTGTGTTATATTTATTATATAACAATCATTGACAAAAGCTGGAAAAGATAGTAGAAAAGCTTAGTTTCATGAGTCCCATGTGTTTGCAAGGTATGGCATGATAAGTTGCCATGTGTTCGTTTACAGAAGGGTTTACGATGTCTTCATTTGTGTTGTTTTTTGCCCTTCATTATGGCTTCAAAGCGTAAGTCAGACTCTTCTAGTATTTTATGTCATACATTATGACGTTACCACTGTGTTAGCGTAGGTGAGTGACATATCTACGTATGTACAGTATGTGAATTTCGACTTACAGCGAAAATCGCGTTTTGTTCCACCGTAGGAACTGAACTCTGGCCCAAGTCGAGGACTCCCTGTACTGTTGGTAGAAGATAGTATTGCATGGAAAGGTTTCAGAAAATATCAAAAGTTGTTAAACCACAGGTAAAGTTAGTCATTTAATTTATCATTAGCACCAGAATGTACCCCTAAAATACCAAAATAAACTAAAAGGTTGCCTTTACTTTACTTAAAGTGTAATAAAAAATATTTCTTCTAAAAAATGCTAACAGTTAGCCTGAAGACTTAAAGCAAAAGACTTCAAACCCTTCCTCTTGAATGTGGCTCTAGTTATCCAAAGAGTGTATAGATCCTTTTACAGAATGTCAAGAACATCTAGCTTAGCTTCAAGGCCATAAATGACATGATATTTTGTTATGAATGTTTTTACATATCAACAATTACACAAATATTTTTTAAATTTCAATGAAATTCTTTATGAAAAGAAAATCAGTGATTTTGTTTTTAAATACACTACATTTACCTCCAAAAAATTGAGAAATTAGCTCAAAGATTGTCAGCTCTCATTATAAATTGTTATTTTCGTAATGCTGGCGTAGAGACGTGGTTTCTAGTAATACATATCTAAAAAATAAGCATTGATGAAGTAGCCAGATGAAAACTTTCTTCATAATGGCTTCATAGTGAAAACAAAGCAGATAAAACCCAGGCCGTTTAGAATTGATCATGTCATAAAATAACAGCAGATCAAGCAAGTGTGATATTTGTGTTTTGTAAAAAGTAAAACATTAGAAAGAGTTGGAGGTGCAGGAATGTGTTTAAGGCCAGCCCCGTATACACAGAGGTCTTTCTGTGTAAAGGTCACATCATTCATTTGTATGGTTTTCTTTCCTCCTCTGCAACCTTTTCTTACCATCCATGTGTGCCCGACCAGCCAGACTCACTCCCTATGTTTATAAGTTGGCCCATGTTTCATAAGCTAAAACTAAGCTGCCCTTTAGCTTGTGTAAGAATAGCTGGAAATCCAACCATTTGAGAGCTTTTAAACTATTTTGACAGCTCCCTCTTTTTTCCATCACCCCCATGAGCACTGGAAACTGGCGGAATGTATCTTTGTGTCTAAATGAACAAGTGTGCGTCGCTCGCCTTTTCCCGTAAGCTGACATGAAAGATATTTCACAACTTGTGAATCAGAATTCTGTGAGGCACAAGGGTGCTCCGTGAGATATCACTGTAACAGAAACCTGTTCCTGTAAAAGAAAATACATTCTGTTTTCTTGCACTTCTGTAATGTAGTGTTCATCGGTCGCTGCCAGTAACATGCCATATTTAATTTAGCCTCCAGCTCGTGGCTGGTGAAATTACTCCCACCTGAGCAGGGGGAGGTCAGACTCACACCAGAGCTGCAGTCACTGATTAGAAAAGAACAGTTTTCCAAAATTTTTAGAAATTCATTCATGATTAAGCCTATGCTGTGAGCCATTGTTTTCCTGTTTTGAAACATGTGGTGGGTCTGAAACATGTGGCTTTGTTTTGGTTTAGCAAGAACAACAGATGGAGGATATTGTTAAAAAACAGCCTTGCCTTTGGTTTTTCTTTTGGTCAAAGACTATAACAGATAGTAAACAAGTAACAGTTCTAAAGTGGAACATGTATAAAGACAAAGTTTTGTTTCCTGTTTTCTTTATTTAATTATTTGTTTATTTCCTTTTCAATGATTTCATCCGTCTTTCTTCTCAATCAGGCGAGGTTTTAAGTCTGATGGATGATCTGTTCTCTGGATTGGGCTCATCCTGTGTTGTTGCTGGGAGGAGAAGTGGAGAACATCCCCACTCTGTGCTTTATTCTGTGGTCTTCAAGTGCCTGGAACCTGACAGTCTGTACAAGTAAGTGTGCTGACAACCTCAGTAAAGTGAATCCAGTCAAAGGTATCACTGATTGCCTGTAGTTTATTTCTTCACCAAAATAATAAAATCAACAGCAGTTGTTTATTATTACACAATTCCTGATAAAGACACTGTAGTCTTCATTAATCATGTTGAAACTGTTTTTTAATGTTTCTCCTTTGTCGGCGGTCATCATATGACACCGAGAGACACATCTGCACTGCAGGCCAGTCAAACACACACATGTTTATGTAAATGTAATATGTTTAGAATTAGTGTCAGCCTAGTTTTATTGTATATTTCCAAAAAAACAAAAATCATATCTCTGGTTTATCTCAAGTCAATTTGATTTCTTAGGAGCAGCAGTGGACTTTGACTTAATTCTTGTAGTCTTAAAGCCCATTTCTACTGTTTAACATGTGGGTTCACTTAGACTCCTTCAATCTCCTACCAATCATTTCATTGTATGTCACGGCACCATGGCACATACTTCTTTACAAAGACCAACTCTTGACCAACCTACCTAACTTAGTAATAAAAAAAGATTTGAATGTATTTTTACGCTTCTTCTTTTGGGATTTTGATTTTACAAACTGATCATGTATGTCATGTATAATTTTAATGTCAATACCTGGTGTCAGGACCAGTGTTTTTATGTCTCATCAAGGAATCTCATACTTGTCATCAGCCAGGTAACAACTAATTCTATGTTACTTTGTTTTTATTATACCAGGCAGGAATTTCATAAAGTTGCCAGAGCTGCACAATTCTCTCTGTTTTATTCTATTCTTTTAGTTCTTAATTTTGTACAAATACAATATCGCCATAAAAATGATCATATTTTTATGCTTTTTTGTGTTTTTTACAAAACCACGCGGGCAAAAAAAACCCATTCATTTTCAATACATAGCACTTTATGTAGTGTAAACATTACATATTTCCTGAGCCTGCACATACATGTATATCACATTGCCATATTCTCCTACTGCTGTCCATACTTGCCACTGTAAAATAGATTTTGTTTTATGTGGTAATACCTTTAAACTCCTCCTTAACATCTGGCTCGAGTTTATCGTAGACACATACATTAGTCTCAAACATGGTGGATGTGGTGAACACTTCCGTACTTAAATGTTGTATTTAGTGTTGTCAGCTATTCTTAATTCTACCTTGCTCATTATTACCAAAGGCTAGACCTATCTCTCAGCTAGCCCCTATAGGATGGCGCCTGTAATAATTAATTTTGTCGCTGCAGTGTTTGGATTTTACTTAAATAATAGGCTTCACGTATACATGCCGGGGAAGTTCTGTTTGACTGGAGAGTGATGGATTACCTGCATCTCTTAGCCTAACGTCCCGATGTTTTTCACTGGCCGGCAAGGAAACCGCAACACAATCTGTTGAGTGTTAAGACGTACGCAAAAAAAGTTATATCGACCGCACAAACAGTATAATCGTACATTCATGCCCTGCCATAAACCTCCCACAGTTGTTATATAAACACTGTGGAATATATAATATTAAGGTACAGTAAGTGCCTTGATAGCTATTCCTTGATTATAAACTTATGAACTAACGCCCTTCTTTTATGACTTAAAGAGAAGCATGCAATCATTACAAAGGTCACTTTCAGACACATTGGTAGACTTGAACTAACAGCTAATGTTTTTATTTTGGTAATTCACTTAAACTTTGATTTAATGTGTACAAAAAAATGTCCTTTATTTATCTATCCATCTATCCATCCATCGAACTAGCTAACTAGCTATTTAGCTAGCTATCTATCCAGATGTTGTTGTGGCTGTCATTGGATACAAAACGTGGAGTCTCCTACTCTTTACACTGTATAATAATAATAATACGATAATGTTCTTGCCTTTTTCTGGTAGCCTTGAATTGTTTTGGGAACGTCAATGATGTTCCGTCCAAAGGTGACACTGTTCGGGAAAGCTGTGAAAACTGTCTGTAAGACAAGCAGGATTAACTCAAATCATTATAACAGAATCAAAACAGTTTAAAATGTTATCATTTTCTTACATTTAACAGAAAAGGAAATTCTCAATATTTATAATACTAACTAACCACTGTTACTGTAAATTTCATGCGTCACAATCCTTACAAAATACACAAGACAAGTACGTCATCTTTACCATCTATTCAGTGAAATATTCACAATCTGCCCAAAGCATTTGACAGCTGATGAAGAATAGTAGGGGAGTAATTATTAGGCTAATCTGTACAAGTCAGGCTCCCACCAACAAAAACGTGCAACAAGAGCCTCATTTCCAACTTTGTAGCAGTGTTATCTTTGTTTAGGCATTCTCCGCAGTGTTGTTTTTCCTGATAAGAGCGGAATATATGTCGGAATTACGTCTGAGGGCACATCTGTTCGCAGCCAACTCTGCTTGTCTTAATCATGGCCTGGATAAGACCATTTCACTGGTATTGGCTGTGCACTTGATCATTGCCAAGTCATTTGTTGCCCTAATATTCTGTCTGAAAACTTAACTGCTGCTGGAATGAGCAGCTTTGTTCTTGTTTGTTTTTCTTTAAAAATGTTGGCGTTCTCATTCACTCACTAGTCTTCATATTGTTGTGCATTACTGAGAGTTGACTGTGTCTTACAGAAGAGAAAACACATCACTTCATGCCCCAATTTAAATATATATATATTTTAACAAGTTCCTTTACTGTTCTTTACTCATTTATTTTTTTTAACATTGTGTATTTTATATATTAAAAGGTAGATTTGGTCAAGAAAATTGATCATTTTTTAATCAATCCTTTTGATTTAATTTCACACAACCCATTCTTAATTTTAAGACCTTGATTGTTGTGAACCTTCTTAGGTCCTGTTTACATGGTGACAATTTAGCTTCGGTTCTCAAAGTTATGGCGCAGATTTGGCCTGATTCAGATGCATTTAGACAAATTGCATCCTCACCATATAAGGGTCCCAGAGTCTCAAACAAGAAGGTTGTGACCTGATGTGAAAGGCATCCCCCAGAACTTGAAAGAGAAGGAATGTAGATCAGTAGATCAGTGTATGTAAAGAACCCGATTTTTTATTTCTACCCCAGTACAATCCAGGATAAAAATTGTGGAGGGAAAGGTGAGATCATAATCCACTTTAAGACCATGGCAGAGGACCTTGAAGTAGAAATTGATTTTAATGTCTAAAAATTTTAAAAAATATTCCTGGTATTCCAACCCAACTTGTTTAAATAAACTATTGCTTTACCATCTTGGATTATGGGTAATTGTGTGCAGGTGATGTATACCTTATTGATGAATATTACTATAACTGTGTTGTACATTTATAGAACTTTAAAGATATTTTTTAGTCGACCAACAGTGTTGGCTGCCACAAATTCTTGGGAATTCGGGGAACGGGGAACATTTCTGAGTGGCTTGGAATGACTTGTGGGCTGATTCATCTGACGTATGTCCAACTGCTGATGTCAAGGAAAAGGCATCCCCTGCTGCCCAGTCGTCTTCATCTCCCCAGAGTTACTGCTCCAATTGATCCTCTCTTCCTCCCATTCCTCCTTTCTTAGTCCATCATCCTCCAGGCTTTCTGTCTTGTCATCCGCTGTCTCATTAAATTAGAGGACAGTGGCCACATTGTTAATTTACACAATCATTAATCTGTCGTTTATCCACTTCATTGCTCGCTGAGCTTTTAAAACTATGGCACAAGGACAAAGGCAAGATGTGGGCAGGAAATGTATACCAAAATAGAGACCGAGGAATGAATGCAGTATTGACGCGTACTTATTGGGTCTAATGTATTAAGACTTCTTTAACTTGATGTTTTGCCATGCTTATGACCAACGTTCTGTGTGTGGTTCCTGTGTTCCTGAGTTCATACCTTGATCTCTGTGTTAGATTTAGATCTGTATTTAGGCCACGGTTATCTTCGTGTTTTTTTTTTTCATTTCTCCAAAATTCCCAGATTTTCTCACAATGACAGTTAGCTTTTCTGCTTGTTTACACAAACAATTTCAAATCTCCGTAGTAGGCTCCATCCACTCCTAGTGCCGTTTGCACAAACAGCTTTATTACTATACATAACAGTCTTCTAATTGCTGTAGGGCTGAGAAAGGGGAAACCGCGCCTGTCATTGATGCCAACCATTAAAACAACCAAAAACAGCAGTTAAAGGTTGGCAAGCTCACATCCTGGGCTCTAAAAAACAATTCCTTTACAAATTGCCTTGATAAAACTCCTGCTCACCCCCTTCACCTCCCCATCCCTCTTCCCATTTCATTGTAGCCATCTGCACGTTATGTGGCCACATAATTTAAACAGTGACTGTTACATGCCGGCATTGTTTTGCTGGGCAGAGGAGCCAACGAGGCCTGCGCGTCTTTTGTGAGGTTCTTGGGGAATACCACATCCACCCTGCTCAATAACAAGAGCAGACAAACTATGTGAGCAATGTGCAAACAGGTCGTGTTACTAACAAAACATGCTTTTGACAGCAGTGAAACAGCTCTCAGTCGACATGAATCTAAACCCCCCCACAAAAGCAAATGGATTCAGAAAGAAATTCCACTTTTTTCATGCAAACAGTGACACTACAATGTCTTTATTTCTCATGTTTTCCTGAACTGGGATGGCATCTTTGTTGTTGTTTTTTTCTTCCTCAGTGTGTTTTGTGGTTCCCCTTTGTCATCCTGTTGTTTTTACTGTGGTCACTTTGTGGAAATTCTCTTCAAAGCTTACAGTTTCTCATAGCGAGTTGCAAAGTATTTCTCAATAGTCATATTTCACAATTTGCATTCAGCAGTAAGAACGCAAAGTGGTAGGAAGAACATCCATCCATCCATTTTCAGCCGCTTATCCGTTACCGGGTCACGGGGGCAGCAGTCGCAGTCAATGACGGCTTTAATTATTTCCACTGAAGTAACTGTTATTGTTCAAATCAAAATTTGAACTTTTTTTAAACATTTAACACTTTCGCTACTGCCCCCTTCCTTTAATTAGTCGGCCGTATTAGGGATTGAGTGTTGAAAATAAAATATTTAAAGTACCTTAAAAAGTGTTTGTGAGAAAGGCATTTTAATGAACTACCAAAATACAACGTGATCCGGTGTACATAGCTGTTTTGGAACGGCAGTTCTAAATAGATTTCCTTACAAACGACCCTCACTGAAATAATACAGGCAACACTTTGATACATTCAAACTTTCTGCTCGTATTTTCTTAGTGCTACAACAGAAACATAGACACGTGGTCTTTGGACAGTGCTATTAAACCTCCAGACTATGTTATCAAACAGTAGTTTTCATTTAAGTAAATTATGATTAAATCGTGAGCAAGTAGCATATTGAACATTATTGATGGATGCTGGCTAAAATTTGACCCTCGGCCCACGAGTTTGAGACCCCTGCTCTAAATGTTGTACAGGTCAGTGTTACACTGAAAAACAATAAATAAAAACACACACACATTTGTAAAGTCGGACAAATCTAGTCGGACACTCCCTGCAGTTCCCCCTAACACCTGTTGGGGCAGTGTGAATGATAATGAAACTTGTGTGTACGTTAGCCTGGTTTTTTATATGTCAAGATGGAATTCTTGATGGAAAGCCCTCTTCTATGTGGTATGCAACCAAAAAGGAGACAATGTAGAGAAAAAACAGTGTTGTCTTCGTTTTTTTTTTTTTTTTTTACTTCATGCCTATACAGTGTATGTATTTGTAGCTGAATATATTTCTGGATATACAATTAACTCAAATTGATTCGTATAGACGGTTAAAGGTAAAACCACTAAATCAGTTTAAGTTTTAAATGGCAGATTAGTCCCTTTAAGTCTGCGCTCACTTCCTGCAGCTGTAGTATTATGCGTGACTTCAGCTGTGCCAATGTTGATCCTTTTTTAGATTAGTCATAACCAGGCACTCCTTATACTTTTTTCTGTATTCAAAAGCACACCGATTGACATTTCCAAAAGGACATATAAAGGTCATACATTGTCTCTTTCTATTCGAGGCTTCGTGGCCCTACAGTTCTTCAGATGCACTACATTTCCTCTCTCTGCCCCATCTCTTATTCCTTTGTCATAAATCGTCTGCTGTTCCATCTTATCAGGGTACGGCATGGTCCTGAAAGCTGTCAGGGAACCCAAAAAATTCTGAGGCTTGACATTTTAAGTGTGGGACTTTGTTCTCAGGGACTTCTTTATGTCAGGCCTGCTGCACCTTTGTGCTTCTTTACTGTGCCATCATGGGACTGCATGTACCCATTTTCACATAATTAAACCTCTCAAACCTGCATCATTGTTCACAGTAAGAAAAGTTTGTGACTCCAGTGTTTTCTGTCAGAGTACATTTTTTTCCACTGCGAAATAAAGTCACATCTTCTTTGACCTAATATTTTTACAAAACTACATAGAATGCATAGTCAGAACAGCCATGTCTCTGCCACACTTATGCAGTACGTCTTTATGCAGAGCCGCTTCTACCGGTCCTTACCCAGTGCTGCACAAATATTAAACTGTGGCTGTACTGACTAATTGACTGAAATATTGAGTAAGAAGTTATAAAAACTTTTTAATAGGGCTGTCAAATTTAATGCGTTACTCATCTCAATTAACTTAATTAATCAGGCAGAATGACGCACGTTGTAAAACCAATATTTCAACTTTCCGTCTTAATGTCATTACTCTAAATAGGCAGTCAATAGACATGCTATTTGCACAAACTGCAAGAAAAAAATGTTATTTAAAATTTAGAGTTTCACTTCTCTACCGCAAATATTAATATTGACTAAAATTTGTCAACACCAACTAACTTTTGTTCTTCTTTCAGTATTTTCTCTTTCCCATTCCAGCAATATGCAGAAAGATATGTTTTTTTGTCATACTTAGGAATGTTGATTTATCTAAATTAATAATGATTATTTGGTTAATTGCAATCAAGATTAATCAATATCAGTCCACAATTAAACCTTTGACAAAAAGATTAATGTTTTTACTTAGTTCTCAATATACACTTAAATTATCCCATTTTTTTAAATTTGTTTTTTGATGTTGGTAATATTAATTATAAACAGAATAGCTACTAGTATTTACTTCGGAAACTACATTACAGCAATTCTCTAATCTTTAGACTCTATATTCCTGACTCACATTTCTTGGCTGCCCCTGAAATATTGATGAAACGCAATTCATTTTTCCCTGATTTGATTTTCAGGTTCACTCTCAATGCAGTGGATAGCCGAGGCAGTCACTCTGAATCCAGTTTCGTAACTGTAAGGACATCATGCCCAATGGTGGACGACAGCCGGGCAGAAGGTACTGTTACTTTATGTTATAAGAATTAATTTAATTAAATTAATTACTTTATATTATTTGAAATTTGACCAAAAACATGGTTTGATTTGTTTTCTTTTTGTTTATTCATTTTGTATGCAACACTTCAAAACTGTGTATTGTTTTTTAATCAATGTTTATAACAGAAATTCTATTTAAGATAAATTACATTATTTCTTTTGTAATTAATAAATAGCAGTGGTCAAAATTGTTTGGCAGCACACACCTTTCTATTTGTTAAACAGTTTAACTCATACCCCAAATTATTATTTCATGAATATTTTTCAACATTTGACTAACGTTACATGATTAATTAGGATTTTACCAAACAATTCCCAAAATAACTTTTTTCTAAATTTTTTTCAAAATGCTCTGATTCGATGAGATTTTAAAAGATTCTAAAAATGTTTTGAACATAACATAAAAAACATAAATTTTAAAATTTGTTTTGAAAAACATTTTTACAAAGATTTTTGTCAAAATTTAGTTTTTGAACAAAAATGACTCAAAAAATTCACAAAAAACTTTATTCAAAAATATTTAAAAGAATGTTCTCTAAATGCCCTAATTTTATGAGTAACATCAGGAAAAGATAACAATTTTAAAAATAATTTTTCAAATCTTTTAATCAAAATTGTTTAGTTTTTGAACAAAAATGACACAAAAGAGTCACATTTTGACATAAAACTTTATTCAAAAATATTTATAAAAAAAATTTCTAAATGTACTAATTTTATGACAAACATGCAAGTAAAGATAACATTTTTAAAAATAATTTTACAAAACATTTTCATCAAAGTTTCTTAGTTTTTGACCATAAATCACATGAAAAACTGACATTTTGACATAAATCTTTATACAAAGAAATTTATAAAAATGTTATCTACATTCACAAATTTTATGAGAAACATTCAGGCAAACATACAATTTTTAAAAATAATTTTACAAAACATGCAGGTAAGGATACAATTTAAAAAAAATCTTTTACAAATAATTTTCATCAAAGTTTCTTAGTTTTTGACCATAAATCACATGAAAAACTGACATTTTGACATAAATCTTTATACAAAGAAATTTATAAAAATGTTATCTACATTCACAAATTTTATGAGAAACATGCAGGCAAATATAGATTTTTCAAAAATAAAATTACAAAACATTTTCATCAAAGTTTCTTAGTTTTTGACCATAAATCACATTAAAAACTGACATTTTGACAAAAAGTTTTAAACAAAAAAATTTGGTAAAATGTTCTCTATGTTCAAAATTCTATGAGAAACATGCAGGCAAATATAGA